GCACATCAGCTGAGCCCAAAGAGTGCAGAGGAGGACAGGAGAGGGGCAGGGAGTTTCAGGCAGGAGCACAGGCCTGGTCACTCCTGTTGGTGTGCAGAATTGGGCAGGAAGGAGGAGGGAGGCCAGTGAGGGGGCCTGTGTGGTGGACTCAGGGTGGCTGTGAAGGACCTGGGATGGCAGCAGGGAGGATTAGGTGGGTGCAGGGGCACAGAGGGCCTCAGACAGAGATTGGAAGATTGGACTTTATTCCTCAAGACAATGGGGCCACCAAAGGGAGAGAGAAAATATGATTTGGCACACTGGGACAGGAGGACAGTGCCCAGGTGAGCCAGGAGCTCAGGTGAGGATGGTGTTGACTGGTGACTTCAAGCCAGAAATGAGGAGAGAAAGCTGGGCACGGCGGTGCATGCCTATAATCTCAGTGGCTCAGGAGGCTGAGGCAGGAGGATTGCAAGTTCAAAGCCAGCCTCAGCAACTTAGGGAGGCCTGGAGCAACTTAATGAGAGCTTGTCTCAAAATAAAAAGGGCTGGGGATATGGCTCAGTGGTTAAGAGCCCCTGGGTTCAATCTCCAGTACAAAAAAAGAAAAGAAAGAAAGAAAGAAATGAAAAGGAAAAACAGAAGGTGACTCAGGAGTGGGTGTACCCCTAGACTTTGGTGTGATGCCCAGGTGGCTCCAAGAGTATGGCCTGGGCCCTCCCCTAGGATCTTGGTGGCAGATGTAGGGATCACTGGTATCTGAAAAGCCTTAGGAGATCCCATCCCACCCGCTGTTGCTCCCACAGGAATAGAACCCACAGGTTCTGCTTCTGGCCCCATGGATGCAGCAGAGACAGAGGTCCAGATAGGCCGCTCCATGTCTTCTTCCACGGTTCCCACTCTGGCCAGGGCTGCTGATTGGCTGAGCCTACCCCTCTCACAGCCATGAATTACTAGGACATTAAAGAATGAATGAGTCGTACTGGAGTTTCCCAAGCCAGATGGCAGGTGTGGGAAGATTCTGGACACCCACTAGCCCTTCTCAGCACTGAACCCCAAGCTCAGGTCCCAGATTTTACTGAGGCCCAGTGCAGAGCTGGCTCTGCACTGTGGTCTGTGTGGACTCACCCGCACTGTGAGCTTCCAGCGTTCCCTTCACACTGATTTCCCCTGAAGAATGTAAAACCCTTGTGAATGTGTTCTTCAGAACCAGACAGAGCCACCAGCTTAGGTTCATCTTTAGATATCTGCACTGCACCATCAGCCCTGGGGTTGGTGGCCTTGTGGGTATGCTTGGGCCACTGACATGCCACATAGACAACCCCCTCATACCATGGGGCTGTCAGGAAAATGACTGCCTCCCCTCTGGCCAGAAGCATCTAGAATCAACCCCCACTCACTCACCTCATCTCTGGAGCACTTGCCTGTGCCAGCCTGGGGCTCCTGGGCCCTGGTCAGCCCCTTCTTTCCAGAAACTTCTGGTCTCCTGGGAGGTGGACATGTCCCAAAGCATTTGTGACACAGAACTGCAGAGACTGAACCATTCTTGAGGGGAATAGGAGCCCCCAGTGGAGGTACCTAAGTCACCTGGGCAAGATGACTTAGGGAAGGTGATTTCTAAGCTGAGAGGGTAATTGAGGCAAAGGGCAGAGGGAGGGAGATGCAAGCACCAGAGGGGCACCAGGGTTATAGAGATGGGCAGGCCTGGAGATGGCTGAGGAGATGTCCCTCCAGCCGTTGTGTGGGGGGTATAGGCTGATGAAGTCAGTGAAATGTGACACAGTCCTGGATCCATGCAGGGATTCCAGAAGGGACAGATGGGACATGGGAACTGAAATAGGGTGGAGTCCAGATGATACTCAGGTCCCTGACTTGGGTGACCAAGGATTCAGGAGGAGGAGAGGGTGAACTGTGGACTCAGACCCACCAGAGTACTGGGGCAGAAGCTGGGTGGGGACAGTAAGCACTATCACCTGGCTGATCTGGATCACACTCACTCAAGTTCCCCTCAGAAGGAACACCCTGGGCCCACAGAGGCTTCTTGATCATGCAGACTCCTCTTTATTGATGCAGACTCTGCACCACAAACATACCTGTCACCTCTCCTGGGTGGAGTCTTGGGCCTGCTCTGAGACCCACCGTGGCTCCTGTACAGTCTGGGACCTGGACCCAGGGTGGACATATTCAGGTGGCTGAGGCCTTTTCTGGGGTTGCATCTTGAAGAATCAGCAAGAGAACAACTAAAGCTTGGGCCAGACCCACACATCCTAGGGAACTTCTCCAAAAGTCCCAGGGACAGTAGGGTCCCTGTAACTGGGTAACTGTCATTCTGGCAGTTGATAAGGCATAGGCTATACCAGGATCCGTGCTGGTGGGGGCTGAGGGGTCCTTGCTGGGGTCCAGAGGGAGTGGAGCCTATGGCTGGCTCCCCCAGCAGGGCCACAGCCAGAGTGGGGTTGTTTGTCGTGGGCCACTCTCGTCTTAGGCCCTGCCAGCCACACTGTCTTGCGTCCTGACCTAATTGAATTCAGTGACACATCATGCTTGCAGCTTCTCTAACCCAGGGTTACTGTCCACCCATTTAAAAATGCCTCTGGCTTCAGAAGGACTTCATGCTGCTCCTGCCGGTGTCAACCAGGCATCTTCTAGGATCTCTAGCATATCCCCTTGGCACCCACAAACCTGTGCCATCTGAAAACTGGGGCCATTTTTCAAGCAATTAGGTCATAAGATCCAGACAGTTAGGGACAGTCAGGCCCAAGCTGTTTACTCCAGGAGGATAAAACACAGGTAGACAAACTGAGTGAGTTGGGTCTCCTGACCTCTAAATGCCCCAGGAGCCTGCTGGCTCCAGCCTGGTCCTCCTGCCAGAACAGTCCTGCTCCTTAAAGGTCAATAAAAGCCTCCTCACTTTCTGTCTCTGCAGGTTCTCCTTAGGCCCCGATGTCCCAGCATGGCCCACGGAGGTGATCCATGACCTGCCGGCCAGCACTCATCAGTAGCCATCTAGAGTCGAATCTCTCAAGGAGGTGACCCCTCCTCCAGCTGCCCCCAACGTGCCCACCCCTGCCCAGGAAAGTGCCGCAGCTGCCACGGACACCATGTAGTTGGGCCGGCCGTGGTGCCCAGTGAGCTGCGATGGTTTTGTACACGACCCCCTTTCCCAATAGCTGTCTGTCCGCCCTGCACGCCGTGTCCTGGGCCCTCATCTTCCCATGTTACTGGCTGGTGGACCGGCTGGCGGCCTCCTTCATACCCACCACCTACGAGAAGCGCCAGCGGGCAGACGACCCGTGTTGCCTGCAGCTGCTCTGCACCGCCCTCTTCACGCCTGTCTACCTGGCCCTCCTGGTGGCCGCTCTGCCCTTCGCCTTTCTCGGGTTTCTCTTCTGGTCCCCCCTGCAGTCTGCCCGCCGGCCCTACACCTACTCACGGCTGGAAGACAAGAGCCCGGCTGGCGGGGCAGCCCTGCTTGGTGAATGGAAGGGCACGGGGGCTGGCAAAAGCTTCTGCTTCGCCACCGCCAACCTCTGCCTCCTCCCCGACTCGCTGGCCAGGCTCAACAACCTTTTCAACACCCAAGCGCGGGCCAAAGAGATCGGGCAGAGAATCCGCAATGGGGCGGCCCGGCCCCAGATCAAAATCTACATTGATTCCCCCACCAACACCTCCATCAGCGCGGCCAGCTTCAGCAGCCTCGTGTCACCACAGGGCGGCGATGGCGGGGCCCGGGCTGTTCCTGGGAGCATTAAGAGGACAGCCTCTGTGGAATACAAGGGTGATGGGGGGCGTCACCCGGGTGACGAGGCTGCCAATGGCCCGGCCCCTGGGGACCCAGCTGATGGCAACCTTGAGGACGCCTGCATTGTGCGCATTGGTGGCGAGGAGGGGGGCCGGCCACCTGAAGGCGATGACCCTGCCACTGGGAGCCAAGCCAGGAATGGGGCTGGTGGAGGCCCAAGGGGCCAGACGCCCAACCACAATCAGCGGGATGGGGATTCGGGGAGCCTGGGCAGCCCCTCGGCCTCCAGGGAGTCCCTGGTGAAGGCTCGAGCTGGGCCGGATGGCGGTGGCGCTGGGGAGCCGGGTGCCAACAGCAAGCTCCTGTACAAGGCCTCGGTGGTGAAGAAAGCCGCCCGCAGGAGGCGGCACCCAGATGAGGCCTTTGACCATGAGGTCTCGGCCTTCTTCCCCGCCAACCTGGACTTCCTGTGCCTGCAGGAGGTGTTTGACAAGCGGGCAGCCGCCAAGTTGAAAGAGCAGCTGCATGGCTACTTTGAGTACATCCTGTATGACGTCGGGGTCTACGGCTGCCGCGGCTGCTGCAGCTTCAAGTGTCTCAACAGCGGCCTCCTCTTTGCCAGCCGCTACCCAGTCATGGACGTGGCCTATCACTGTTACCCCAACGGGCGCAGCTTCGATGCCCTGGCCTCTAAGGGAGCTCTGTTTCTCAAGGTAGGAGGCCTTGGCCAACCTGAGGGCCACATGCCAGCCATGCCCGAGCCACGTGGGGAGGTGGGCTGCAGCTGGGCATCCTTCCCCCATCTCTTCTGGGGGCTGAAGGGGAGGCAGACAAGATCTTTCATGGGACTGAACCTTGTCACCAGTGCAATGACAAGAGAAATACAAACATAGGGACAAAATCCAGGCAAAACTGTCTGGGTGATCTGAGACAATTCATCAGATCTCTGAGCCACCATTTCCCTGTCTGTAAAATGGGGGCAGCCTGGGAATGAACTATCGAGGTGAGGCCTGGGAGGGATTCAGAGCCACTCTGTAGTTCATGTGGTGACAGCCATGGTGATGATGGCAGCAATGGGGGAGGAAGAGGAGAAAACAGGCCCCAGCTCCATTCGCAAGAGACGGAGACCAGTGCAAATAAAGAGTGCAGGCATGACCACACCCAGCTCACCAAGGCCATCAGCCTCACTGGCTTGAATAGCCCTCCCTCCTGGCTGTCAGCAGCTGCCAGGCCAGGCTCTCTGCCCACCAGCCCATGGCTTTGCTTCCATAGTCACTAATTAAAGTGAATCATAATTATTTCTGCTAATTTGGATGCAATCGGAGTTTTCAGACCATGGTAATTTGGTCATTACACATTATCTTCCACTGAGCCTGAGATGCAAAGAATTTTGACTTTTTGTTCTCTATCCAAAAGTCACTCTTGATGCTTCCAGAGTTTTCTGAAGCATCACTTGTCCAGCTGATGTAGAACAGGGCTTTTTGCCCCCAACAGAGGCAGCAGCTGCTGTGGGTGTTGGTTCTCTCCTTTAAGGTGAGAAATCGATGCTCAGCAGGAAGGAGCACGGCTCAGAGGCCCAGAGCAGGTGGGGTCCCCTTACTTCTTAGTTCCCATCTCAATACCATCGCACTCAGCCTGTCCAGGAAAATGCTGGTGTGTGAACTGTCACCTGCAGGAGTGAGGGCGGATGTCTCCACAGAGTCTGATGGGGCCAGGCGGGCACCTTAGGGCCCTGGCTCCCCTCCAGGTGCTCGATGTCTCTTGTGCGGCTCCACCAGGACAGAGTCGGGGCTCTGGCTCTTCATTCACAGTCAAAGATGCTGAAAACTCCTCTGGCAAGTAGATCCAGCCTTCCCATTCTGACATATGGTTCGTTGGTGTTCTGTTCTGTGGGTATATTTTTGTCTCAGAAACCAGAGCGACTTTCTGGGGAAGAAGGGTATATATTGTCAGACTCAGGGTAAGAGAGTATGCCCTCTCACCCTGCCCTATTACTGACGGTTCTGAGGCCAGAGACACTTCTCCACCACCATCCACTTCAGCGCAGGCCAACCCACATGTCCCCTCACTTCCCTCCTTGTCTGGTACCCAGACCACTGTTCCCACCAAGGTCAACAATGGTCTCCTTGGGACAGCCCCTCCTTTGTGGCTCTGTGATGAATGTTCTTTTTGTCTCTCTCTACCTCCTGGCTCTCAAACTGGTCTACAAATGTTTAATTTGGTCCATGTCATTAAAACTTATTTTTAAATTGACAAATATTTAAAAATCAAGATATTTTACATAAAACCCAGGTTGCAACTTCTCTTGACACCACGGCAGATCTGGCAGCATGAGCCTGCCACATTTTGCACAGCTGCTGATAGCCCAGGTTGCGGGCCGGGACAATCCCAGCCAAACCTGTACCTTCCCTAGGGAATGTGACTCCATGGCTTCCATTTCTGCCCTTGCTGATGACCCTCAGCTTTGTCTCAGCCCAGATGTTCCTCTGGAGACCCAGCCCCGCATCTGACTGCCTCCAGGACACATCCCATTCATCCCTGAACCAAACTCAGCATCTGCCCCGAGCTGCCCTCTCCTAGTTCTACTATCCAAAAGCCATTTGGGCCACTCCTTGGGCCCACCCTGTCTGTTCCGGGCTCTTCGTTTTACTTTCCAACATCCCTGGCACCACCCTATGTCTCCAACCCTACCACCTTGGCCCAGGCTCCATTCCTGTGTTGGCCCAGTGTGGTTGTAGCTGTCTGGCCTAGTTCCTGGAGCTGGGCCTCCTCCTCCCTTGCCAGAGCTGACCCCCCTCGCCATGTTCCACTGCCTCAGGAAGGTCCACCTTTTCGCTGGGTCTCTCCTCGCAGCCTGTGCTCTGTCCACTCCCCCAGGGGCCTCTATGCCTGGCACAAGCAGGCTCTTCCCTTCATGTGCTCTTCAGCTCTGTGCCCAGCTGTGTTGTGGCCTTGAGGGCTTAGACATTGCCCTGGAGAGTGGAGCTTGTGCCTGGCACATGCAAGGGCTAGGAAGGAGGGGTAGGGACACAGGAAGGGTGCTGACAACGTTCCCTTCCTCTGTCACTTCCCTCCTCCAGGCCTGCACACACAGTTTACTCTGGAACTTCAGATCTTTTAGAGAAATGCAGCTTCCTGTGAAGGAAGGGACGGGAATTCCTCTTGTCTCAATATGACAGAGCCCTATTCTGGGCACCTTTTCTGTTGACAGTCTTTGCCCACCAGGACTAAAAAGCACAGACTCTCGGTGTGATTGTTTGTTTTTGCAAGAGAAACACAAGACTCTGTGGCTCCCGAGGACACGAGCCAGGAATCAATAAGTCCCAGCAAATAATAAAGTGGGTCCTGGCAAGATCACACTCCGAATAAGAGGAAGAGGCAGGGTGTGTGACAGGCGGTTGTGGCCCTGCTGTTGCGCTGGTGTCTTCCCTCTGGGCAGGTTTAGGGCAACAGGACAGAGTCAGGTGCCTTTCTGCCCATGTGCCCTGTCCCTACCTGAGACTCAGCACAGGGCAAGTGTCAATAAGTGCTGAGCAAGTGAGAGGCTGGCACATTAAGACCAACAATAGGTGGCTGGAAAGAAGCGGGCAGAGGTACCAGAAGCTCAGAAAGCAGTGAAGAGCAGTGTGTGGGCCACCAGGTCTTATCCACACCCACCTTCCCATCTGAACCTCCTGATCCATGGCTTAATTTCTCTGGGCCTCAGTGTGTCCATCTATAAGAAGAGCAGACATTCAGTGTCAACCTTGCAGCTGGGGTGAGAAGTGCTAAGTGCTCACAGAGTGTTCCCCAAGGAATGTGGGGGTGACAGTGCCATCCTGTGCCCTGTTGGAGCACTGTGGTTTAACAACGCACTGTGCTTTTGCAAGAGGAGGCATCGAGGACACGTGATTTCACAGAGTCATTCTCGGGGCAGGGGATGCTGTGGGGTTTGGATCTGGTGTATGGGCAAGAAGTGAAGGGTGAGCACGTGAGTTTAGAAACAGCCACGTTTTACACAGCTGTAGAGCCCATTTTCAAATAGCCAGACATTCATCCTATGGGTGCCAGAGAAGGGAAGATGGGCATCAGGCTGGGAGATAGGTGAGGAGCTGGAGAAAGGTAGGGTGGTTTGCTGATGAGAAAGTCTAGATGGGAGAGAAGATACCAACCCAGCTTCAGAGGTGAAAGGAGAGACAGATGCCAACTGGGCCCCTGGAGCAGGTGGCTGGAAAGATAAGGATCAAAAGAGGCCTCCAGGGACAGGTACCCACGCCAGTCCTTGGGAAGTATCTGGGTGAAGGACTCTTCCCCAGTGACCTTCATCAGGTGTAACATGTTCAGAGGGTCTTGAGAAGCCTTCAGACTTGGGGAGGGAAGCATCTCTCTGTGGCCATCCCATGCTGGCCCCAACCACAGGGACCCATCTTATGCTGAGGGTTACCACCTGGGTGGGACCATTTTGAGTCATCTTTATGATGTACAGTTTTATTAAGCCAACACTTGGAGACAGCCTGCCAGGGTCATGTGTAGATTGGGCAGGGGTGGACAGAGTGGCCTCCTCTGCTCCAGCCCACTTAGATTTGCTGAGTCCTTGATAAAGGAGGTGAGCAAGGAGGCCAGGACAGAGGTCCAAGTGGAGTGGAAGTGTGAAGGCATGAAGAGGCCACTGTGGAGGAAGGAGCAGCCCAGGGTCTTGGGCCCAGAGCCCAGGAACACAGGCCAGAACTGACTCAGAGCCATGGACACACAGGCCAGAGCTCTCATCCAAGACCGAGGGACCTCAGGGAACCATGGCCTATAAAGCAGATGAAGCATCTTGCCACGCAGCCACAGGGGTAGAGAGTGAGGACTGTGGGAGGGTGGCAGGGTCTATGGCCCCTCAGAGCGGAGGGTGGGGCAGGCTTTGAGGCTGGGTCTGCCTGGAGGGGTGTCTGGCCTGAGGTTCAGAGGGAAGAAGCACAAAGATGGGATCAGGTCTGGCATGTGGCTGGGGGAGGGAGGCAGAGCCACCACATGTATGTAGTGGACAGGAACTGAGGGTCATGTCGGTGGGTGCTCTGGCCACCAGGAGATGGCAGGGACTGGGGAGAAACCTGTCTGTGTATTCTGTATTTGCCCCTATAAAGCCTTACATAGATCCTCATGGGCAGTGCGACACCACGGGTGGATGTTTTATTTATGCATCTTTCTCCCACACCTGGCCTTAAGCTCCTAGAAGCAGGACATGTCATGTCCTTACCCAGACCCCAAAGTACCAGGACCCTGGCACAAAACAGGGCTCCAGAGGGTTTGACCAAGAGGGATCCTTTGTACCCTAAGCCATGATAACTGGTGGGTGTGCACTGACACCTTGCCCCCCCACCTCCCTCCCCTGGCCCCCAGGTGCAGGTGGGAAGCACACCTCAGGACCAAAGAATCGTCGGGTACATCGCCTGCACACACCTGCATGCCCCACCAGGTAGGTTGCAGGCCATGGTTTTCTGAGGGTGGGATCGGTGCCTGGGGCCTAGCTGGGGCCCCCCGCATAAGCTTCATCATCCGATGTCTGTCTGCCCTGCAGAGGACAGTGCCATCCGGTGTGAGCAGCTGGACCTGCTTCAGGACTGGCTGGCTGATTTCCGAAAATCTACCTCCTCGTCCAGCGCAGCCAACCCCGAGGAGCTGGTGGTGTTTGACGTCATCTGCGGAGATTTGAACTTTGACAACTGTTCCTCTGGTGAGGCCCCCTCCCCAGTTGGGTCTGCTGTTCTGGGCAGCGCAGGGTGTGGGCTTCAGTCACAGCTAGAAAGACTTGAGTTAGGCAGCTCAGAAAACTTCCTGCTCCTCCTGAGAGCGTGGGCAGGAAATTTAGCAAGACTATGATGTCTCTGCCCCCAAGAAATCCTAGAACAGGAAACCCACGCTCTACCTCGAAAGCTCAGAGGCTGCTGGCAGGAGAAAAAGCAATGCCCTAAAAACAAACTTGTGACAAGGGAGGCTCAAGGCCTCTGAAACTCGGACTCAGGGAGAGTTAGTGAATAATATGAGAGCATACATTCCGCACTTACTTTGAACCAGGCGGGATTCTAATTTCTATTTCTCACCTCCCCCCTCACCCGCATCACTCCCTCTCTTTTTCTCTGTTGGATCGAGCCCAGGGGCACTCTATCACTGAGCAACATCCCCAGTCCTTTTTATTTTTTATTTTGAAATAGGATCTCTCTAAATTGCTTAGGATCTCACTAAGTTTCTTAATAAGTTGCCGAGGCTGGCCTTGAACTTACGATCCTCCTGCTTCAGCCTCCTGAGTCACTGGGATTACAGGCATGAGCCACCAGGCTCAGCTCTAACTGCCATTTCATTTAAGGTTCTTAACAACCCTAAGAGGAAGGTGCTGTATTTCTCCACCTGGTGTAGAAAAGGAAGCCGGGACTCAGAGAAGTTAAATAACTAGCTCAAGGTCACATAGCCAGTAAGTGGTTGAGCTGGAATTTGAATAGTGGGCATCATGCATTAAACTTTTAAACTAAAAGATTCCAAGTTCATCAACTGTGAAATTCTAAATAATTGATTTAAACAAAAAATTGATCTTGCCAGCCATGGTAGCACATGCCTATAATCCCAGCAACCTGGGATCCTGAGGTAGGATGGAAAGTTCAAGGCCAGCCTCAGCAACTTAGCAAGACCTTCAGCAACTTAGAACTATCTCAAAATAAAAAATTTAAAAAACAGGCTGTGGCTTAGTGGTAGAGTGCTCCTGGGTTCAATCCCCAGTACAACCAAAAAAAAATGTAGATATATATTTTTTTAATTTTATAAGGACCAACAAGAGATTTGGGCAGCTCTAAACCTCCCTCTGCCTGGAACCCTTACTGACTGTCACCCCTGTACCAGCCACAGCTCCCAAAGCAAATTGAGGATGGGGTGTAATTACATGGGGTCTGAGCTCCAGCCTAGTCCTCAGT